GGTTCATGACGGTGTTGCAGGAATGCAGAGAGGCCGTGGCCTTCGCCTGTGAACATTTCTCAGTATTCAAGGTTAGCTCAGCAGAAGGACACTGTTGTAAGGTAAATAACACTGGTCTGTGTTATTTACCATAGCCAGCTAATTACAGAGCACTTTTCAATATGCTCCATGACAGGACCCCTTTGAACAGCACTGAGAAACTGTGGTTTCTCTGAAAAACCAGAGAACTGGTCTTTATTCCAGCAGTGTGAGCTTAAACCAGATGCCCTGACCAGTATTATCACATCAGACCCCCTGATAGACCCAGTCTGATAGATGCCAGTAGAGAAAAGTTGATTGTGCGCATACCGGCTGCTACAGGATTTTCATCTAAACATTTTTTAACTGAAATCATACCTTTCCAAACAGGCAGGGAAAAAAAAAAAAAAAAAAAAAAAAAAAGGAAATTAGGTCTTAAAGACATTTTTAAATTCATAAACTTTTCCTTTTCATGCTTTGACTGAACATCCCCTAGGCTGAGCAAGAATATTCAAAGTTAGTCATAAAAGCAACCATTACTAAAATGAAAAAGCACCTGTAAAAATATTGCAGCTGTGTTATATTTCCGGTTGGGTGTTTTTTAAGGGTTTCATAGCCTGGTGATAAAATCTGACAAGATATTTAACACTACAGTGTCTACTGCAAATGCAGTGCAATTACATTGYACAGAAACCTTTAGCTTGCCTACTGTCAAGGCACCTCTCAGGAACTGTCTAATTAATTTTCCCTGTCTACRAGGCAGCAGCAGCTCTCTCAAAGCTGTCACAGTCTATTAACTAAACAATGTTGATGTGAAATCCTGCATAAGTGGGTATTTACAGTGCAGCAGGCCACAGTGATGCATATTTTTAAGCTTTAATTATTTTCTGTAATGAAATAGACTGACGTAATTGTAGAGCTGTGGCACAAAGTGCTTCATACCAGGAAAATGCAACTCTAAGGTGTTCACCAAGTCACCTGCTGCTCTCTGCCTTGTGCCACTTGTCCATAAGTTGCGACAAGCACAGTGCTGGCTGCACTGTAAAGCAAAGCAACCATGTGCAGATAATATCCTTATAACCAGTTCACCTGCCCTCTCATAGAATTATAGAACCATAAAATCWTTATGGTTGGAAAAGACCTTCAAGATCACCAAGTCCAACCGTAGACCCATCCGCACCATGCCTGCTAAACCATGTCCCTGAGCACCTCGCCTACGCTTTCCTTGAACACTGCCAGGGACAGTAACTCCAACATTTCCCTGGGCAGCCACTTCCCTCAGTGATAAAAAGGGAAAGATGAGTCGACGACAGGAAAAAAGAGTGACASAGGTTGTGTTTCACAGCACAACTGGCATTACCATGATGCAGCCAAATGGCAGGGCCCTGCTTTTCCTCTCTCTTTTTATTTTTTTGTTCGGAGTTAGCTCATTCTCCTCTGCAATGGAGGGAGAAAATCAGCCCAGGGGTCGTGAAGTCGGCCTGTGGCCAGACACAGGGCAAGGATGAGGCTGTCCCTTATTTCTGTGACAACARTGACCGGTTAGATCACCTCAGGTGTCTTGTGAAACATCACCAGATAATAACAGAATGAACAGGGGGAAAACAGGCATATGTAGCTTAAAATTTAATGAAGATACATTTAGTTTGTGTGTATGCCAATGTTTTCTGTTCTTGATGACCCAGACACAAAGCCTAATAAGTCTTAGATTTCCAAGAGCAGTTTGGTATTCATAACGGGAAGGAAGATAGAAAATGGAGCAGGGGAAGAGGCAGTACCTCAGTCAGAATGTCCTTTTGTGTGCATTAATGCATTTTATAGATCTTAAAAGGAGAGACCATTAGGACTTACTACATAATGCATGCTCAGTTCATGATTGCACTGGCATGGGCAGGCATTCAGGAAAGGTAGTCTAAAAATTCCATTTTTAAACTCTAAAGTATATTTATAATGACACTTTTTAAAGTTTAAAAGAAAAAAAAAAAGGAATTGAATCACATTTAATCTCTGTTTTCAGTAGAGAACTAGTCATACTAAACACAGACAGTCTTTTTTCGGTGTTAGTCATAATACTGTTAGAAAATGACCTAAATGACTATTGAAGCCACTTCCAGAACTGTTGGTACCTGTTACTATAATTAGAATGAGACAAAGAAAATAGTTTTTTCAGTTTAGGATGGTACTTCTGAGTATCATTAAAATCTAAAGCAACAAATGTGCAAGTGGGACACACCTGGTGCACACCAGAAATCAATGCTTATCCTGTAAACAGCTTGTCTCACCTCTGTAGGAAAAGTACACGTTATGCAGAAATAAATCTAGCTCTCAGATAACTCTGCTTGTTGATGCTTACACAGAAAGTTTGGATGTGAATATGATTTCTTACAGTACAGTCAGATGTGAGCAGACTTGTGCCCTTTTAAACATACCTGTCTTTTTTTGGATCAAAGCCATGCCAACAAGCAGAGTAGATCTCTGAKTGTCAGGCACATCTTTTAGGTCAGATTAACCTAGAGTGTGCCCTTGTGGTGCTGTGGTTCAGTCTGTATTTCAGTGTTTAATACAGTGCTGCACATGAGAATTTACTGTGTTTAWTAGTGCTGCACATGAGAAAACCCTCAAGTTAGCTTAGTAGAGATGTATGGATACACCAGATAATCTATTTTACCTCACCTATTCTGCATTCCTTTAGTGGCTGCTGTGTATAAATTAAGATTTTTGGGGAGTTATGTTGAACACTGCCACAGCAAATGCTTCTTCAGGTTATTGGGTCACCAAATATACCTTAGGTGTTTTTCTTCATACTTCAGCTAGCTTGACAGCAGTGCAAAACCAGGCTCAAGTAGCCTTTAGCTAATGGGAGAGACTGACTCCAGTGTATCTGCTCTGATAGCAGTTTGCTGTTTCCAAAATCGTGGTGGGTACTCCATTAGGACCAGTACCTATCAAGCTGTCTTACTGTTATTAATGAGGAGAGAGAAGGTTATGCAATTCCTTCACAGGAACCAGAAAAGTTCCCAGTACAAGAGGGATGTGGAGCTGCTGGAGAGAGTCCAGCGCAGGGCTACCAGGATGATCAGAGGCCTGGAACATCTGCCCTATGAGCAAAGGCTGAGAGAGCTGGGYCTGTTCAGCCTGGAGAAGAGGAGGCTGAGGGGGGACCTGATCAGCGTGTATAAATACCTCAAGGGAGGCAGTGAGGAGGAGGGGGGCGGCCTCTTTTCAGTGGTGGACAGCGATAGGACTAGAGGAAATGGCTTCAAACTGAAGCATCGGAAGTTCCACAGGAACTTAAGGAAGCATTTCTTCACTGTGCGGGTGACAAAGCACTGGAACAGGCTGCCCAGAGAGGTTGTGGAGTCTCCTTCTTTGGAGATCTTTAAAACCCGCTTGGATGCAGCCCTGTGCCACGTGCTCTAGGTGACCCTGCGTGAGCAGGGGGGTTGGACTCGATGACCTCTGAGGTCCCTTCCAACCTTCGGCATTCTATGATTCTATGATTCTATGATTCTATGAAAAGGACACTGTACAGGCAAGCCTAGCTAAAGCTGCAACTGAGGCTTCCAGTTACCAACAGTGTTAGTGAACTGTGTGTGTTCTCTGCACTGCGCAGCGGCACTGAATTGCTTTGCATACAAAGTCTGGCCTTTGCAGGCAAAGCCTTTCAAACTGTATTAAAATTATAAATGAACAGAGCTATTTCTAGCTCTCCCTTCTCTTATTCAGACTACAACTGCCCTTAAAACTTTGGCAAGCTGCTTTGCTGGGGTGCAGTGCTGAGTGCCAGCTCCATTCGGCAGCCCAACACGGCAGCTTTAAGCACGGGCAACACAGCTCTGAGCTGTCAGCACTGATATGTGTAAAACCCTGCATTTCCTTTCAGCTTCTCTTTAAGAGAGTTCAGTTCGGAAAGGAAATTAAAGCCCCAGCCACTTAGCCACTTTGCAAGTGTGAAGATAGTGGGATCCCTTGGAAAAGTCCACCAGGAATCTTGCGTTTGGGCTCTTGCTGATTGAGTTGGACTGAGTTGTGCAGGGAAGCTATGGGAACCCTGGGCTCCTCTTGTCCTCACTCCTTCTCTCTGGTGTGTGGCACAAATATAAAGCCATGTATCTGCAGGTACTCCTTCCAGCCTGCCACCTTCTTATCCCAGACACAATGCAGCCAGCAAAACTGTCCGTCCAAGGGAGCTTGTCTCTGCTCGCTTATTCCTCTCTCGCTTTTCTGGATGTGTTCAACACACTGACTACACCTGTTGGGTGCAGCGAGAGTGGCTGGGTACAGTACATGTCTGCTGTTATTATGGTTTCACGCTTCTTACATGAAATGTTAAAAAATCATCAGCATTTGAGTTTCTGAGTGGCCTGGTCTATGGGAGCACATGCTCGGGTTTAGGCCCTACCTCTGTCCCCTTGTGAGAAGCCAAGTTGCTCGCAGTTAGTGCTCTCTGTAGTTTTGTATCCGCAATTTGGCCTTCTCTTTTCCATGAAACCCTGCAGTTGACCTGATCTCAGCTCTTCTTCCTCTGTGAAGAGTTCTTTTTTTCTTTTCCCCTGAATCGTGCTAGAAATTCAAAGTCGCAGAACAAAGAAACAATGTTTGTTTTTCAAAGGAAAAAAAAAGAGAGAGTTGGTGAAAACAGCCCTGAGCCCTGACAGCTGTGCTTTGTGGTTCGGTAAATTAAGACTTGTTACTTGCTTCTTTCACGGATGTGTTTAGTCTAGATACTCTTGATTTATATATCTTTTTTGGCTGAGCTGTATTTTTTTTTATGCCCATTGGTGGTGATTTCATTCAAGCTTGTGTTTGCCTAGGACGAGAGAGACATTGAGACGAACATGAGCGAATTTAGCCCCATAAGAGGTTTCCCTTCTCCGTTGGTTATTTAAGGAACCCTTTAGCTTTTACAGAAGGGGTCCTCTCGCGTTTCACCAGGCACGTGAAAGCAGCGGGAGAACCACCTCCTCTTTCCTCCCCCGCAGAAGTGGCAGTGCACGGAGGACGCTGCGGGCAAGCTGCGCATCCACAAGTGCAAGGCGCCCGGCGAGGTGCTCGCGCTGCGGAAGCGGACGCGCAGCGTGCACGCGCGCGGCTACGGCGCCAAGGGCAAGGGCTGCGCCTGCGACGGCACCCACGACCGCGGCGCCCGCGCCCAGAGGAAGAACCAGCGGCAGTTCCTGAGGAACCCCGGTGCGCCAAGTGAGTGTCCTGCGGGTGCTCCAAAGAACCGGGTGGGAATGGCTTGCAGGGGCTGGGGGACTCATGCCCTCCTGTTTTCGCCTCTGGGTGGAATGAATGAATACACCTGCAACTGGCAGTCAGGCTCTGCATAGTTGTCTCTGCAGTAGTAACAGCCATAGTTCTCCCTTRTATCAAGGAATATTCTTGAGGCAAGTCCATGTAATGATGCTTTGGTGCCACCTATTGCACTGGCCAGAGATGAAACCTGTCGAGCTCTGCCCAGAAATCTGAGCCCTTATTTGCCAGGGTAGCCAGAGCACCTGGCATCTCAGTGTTCTTGCATCACAAACACTGAGTTTAAATGTTGTTTGGTCATATTTGGTCATACATTTTAGGACTAGAGGAAACTGCCACAAGCTGAGGCACCAAAAGTTCCACAGGAACTTAAGGAAACACTTTTTGACAGKGAAGGTGACAGAGCCCTGGCACAGGGTGCCCAGGGAGGTTGTGGAGTCTCCTTCTTTGGAGATCTTTAAAACCCGCTTGGACGCAGCCCTGTGCCACGTGCTCTAGGTGACCCTGCGTGAGCAGGGAGGTTKGACTAGATGACCTCTGARGTCCCTTCCAACCTTCRGCATTCTATGATTYTAAGATTCTATATCCCAAAGATATCTTTCACATGAGGTGTKTAAGGGCTCTGGCTCCGGCCCAAATGAGATGCTGCTGCAGCTTTCAAGCGAGCCCACCCGAAGATGCAGGAAAGGGAACAAGTTAGATTGCAGTGTCCTCTAGTGGTGCATGAGCTGAAGGAATGCATGGGTGGCCAGCTTTGAGAGGGCAATGTTTGGATTTATCCCTGCTAAGGATTTATGGAACAGCAGCCTATTTATAGAAGCTTCTTCACAGGAACAAGTATTTCCATATCTCTTCCCAATGATGAAAGTGAAGCTGTATAACAATCCAAGTGGATCTGGATTCCGGGGGCTTCTCTATATTCTCCATTCTCTGTACAAAAATCTAGCTTGTGCAATGAAACAGAGACAGGCAATTATAACAGGGAGCTGAGGTATGAGAATGTATGAGAAATATAAAAAGTAGAAGATTATGCACAGATCTCAGAAAGTTATTGCAGTCTAATTCGAATTATTTCTTGATTTAAATCCTCCCCCACTATATATGTGAACAAGAATCCCTGGCATTCTTTGCACATCAGCCAAAATGTCTGTCTTGAGCTGCCTTACTGCTCAGTCAAAATGTTGCCATGACATAATTTCTTTCACTTGTTTAACATGACCTAAGGAACTCTGCAGTGTGTGCACACTGACCTCTGCCAAAAAATCTACATGTCACAGATTGCCAAGGGGATTCCTAARCTGAGGAATGTGCCCCCGGGTGATATTTTCAGAAAAAGCAGAAAAGCTGCTACCAGAGCACCAGCAAGGTTTGGATAAGGATTTTGGCTGGAAGCAAGTGAATTGGTAGGAGAAGGGTAGGAAGGAGGAAAGTGTTACCTCCCTGAATGGAAAACAGTTTGGAAAACATCTGAAGCAGGAGAATCAAAAAGGGTCCATTTGTTATGCTCTTCTCCCACACAGGTATTCTCACACTTTTTCCTTTCTCTTCCTCCGGTTCTCCCTAGTGCTCACGCAAGCAAAGAAGAGAAGAAGAGATTCATGGTGATAAAACTTTGTTTGACAGGATGGCTAGTTCAGATCTCAATTTTTAGGCAACACTAAGATAAAATTCTGAAATATTCCTAACTCTTTCAAGTGATTACTTGATTAATGTTAGCATAACGGACTGTCACCATGACAGAATTTTTCCTCTCTGACCCTATGAATCTTTCTGTGTCGATTGATTAAAGAGTATTAAGTTTATAAATTGGAAAGATGCTTAGATGTTGTAGTTTCTCTTTAGAAATGTAGATGTATTCAATGACTGACTAGTTGTACTCCTTTTCTTCACCTGACAGCAGTCATCCACTAAAATAGTTTAGAAGGATARGGTGGTTTGAATGAAATTTTAAATGAGACTCACTCTGTACTGATAAATGATTCTTGCATGGAAAGTTCAGTATGAGCCTTTCAAAGAATCTAATAGAAAAACTGTGATAGACTGCACTGTCAAAGGCAGCACCTGCTTAGAGCTCTCATTTTATTCTGCTACAAATCTTATTATTAGTTGTTAGACTATGAAGGTGTGCTCAGCATAGACGCAACTAATGGACACTGATGCCCTGCAATAGATTTTCACAAGCTGATTTGTGCATTCTAGGGCTTCATGGGGTGGGTGTCTTTTTGTGTGTAGGCAAAATGTAGCTTGGTGTGATGTTGACTATGTTTTATCACCTTGCTTCAAGGCAYGTACCTTTGGCAAAAGAGGTATGTTGTGTAAGATCTTTCTGGCTGAGCCCCAAAAGATATTCGTATTCTTATACATAGCATAAGAAACCCTGAAAGTATCAATTGTCTTAGCTAATTTCACTCATATTCAGCTGTCTTTGTAAAACTCCAAAACAGTAACTAAAAGACCTATGACCCTAATTAAAGCTTTCCACAGGTTGCTGGAATCTCCAATAAGGTTCTTTTAGATATTCCACATATGGAGGGTGTAATGCTTAGTATCAAAATTTGCCCCTTTGAAGAAATCAAACTTCTGACACATGCCAATTTACAGGTGGAGATCTAGTGGCACCACACTGAATATCAAAAAAATATTATTAAATCAGTCTCTGCAGAGTCTGGTAAAAGTGAGTTGGATTTTTGCTGAACAGCATTAGCATTCTTGCTTTTTGGATTATGCTGTGTGTTGATGGGATGAGTCATATGAATATGTATATGCAAATATGAATATTTCTCTCTTTCTGTTAGAATACAAACCACGATTTGTTCACACTCGCCAAACCCGGTCTTTGTCTGTGGAATTTGAAGGTGAAATATATGACATAAATCTGGAAGAGGAAGAACTGCAGATGTTAAAGAAGACCAAAAGTATCAGCAAGCGTCACGATGCTGAAAATGAGGAGGAAGCAGGGGCAACTGATGGTGCTCCTCGTGACGTAATGATAGCTGATGGCACAGATACCATAGGTCAACCTAACTCCGTCAGAGTGACACACAAGTACTATTGCTTTTTCTATTTTTTTTCTTAGTCTTATTTATTTTCACTTTTTTATTTCTGATTTTATATTTTTGATATATAGAGACTTGTATATGAGGACTGGCTTGTATCAGCAACAACACAGCCAGCAGGAGTAGGGAAGTGATGGTCCCCCTGTACTAAGTGCTGGTTGGGTCGCACCTCAAATCCTGTGTTCAGTTTTGAGACCCTCACTACAAGAATGACACTGAGGTGCTGGCGTGTGTCCAAAGGAGGGCAGCAAAGGTGATGAAGGGACTGGAGCACAGACCTTACAAGTGGCTGAGAGAGTTGGGGTTATTCAGTCTGGAGTAGAGGATGCTCAGGGGACACCTTATTGCTCTCTACAGCTACCTGAAAGGAGATGGTGGTGAGGCAGGGGTTGATCTCCAGAATAACTACCAATAGGACAAGAGGAAATGGCCTCAAGTTGCACCAAGGGAGGTTCAGGTTAGATATTAGGAAGAATTTCTACACAGAGTAGTCAAGCTTTGGAACAGGCTGCCCAGGAAAGTGTTGGAGTCACCATCCCTGGCAGTGTTCAAGAAATGTATAGATGAGATGCTTAGGGACGTGGTTTAACAGGCATGGTGTTGAGGGGCTTATGGCTGGACTCAACGATCTCAAAGGTCTTTCCCCACCATGATGATTCTATGATTCTATGACAATTCTTTTGTCACAGATAATTGAAGATGTAGTTGAGTTGTAGTTTTTATTAAGTTAAATCGTTTCCCAGAAATCCCTATATCTAAAGGTGAGACTGTTGTTTATGTTTTATTTCTGAGGAGGAATAGGCATTTCCAGAGGGAAATTCATTCTCCATACCTAAATATGTGTTTTATGATATCACTCTTTGAGGCTGATACTCCTGCTGTTCCTTGTAACAGTTATGTAATTACTTTAGCATAGAGGCCTAAATTTCAGATGGCTGAAATTAGGAGAAATAAAACCATTTCTAAATGAGAACAGATCAGTTACTTCCTATTTCTTTCTGTTACCTAAGATATATCAGATCAGTTTATCACTGATGAGAGCAATGATCATTTTTCCATCCTAGAAGATGATGAGATTTCAGATTTTTACCCTAAATATGAATGAAAAGTCAAAAATTTCAAAATATATCAGATTTTAAAAAATGGTATGACAGAACTGCAAAGACTCAACTAGTCATTAAAAATTATATGTTTTATCTTGTTTAAAATATAAATAAGATTTTTCATTCTTTTCAAAAACATCAAGAGAAACATAAGTGCTAATTTTGAATAAGTAAAAATTAACATTGATAATTTCCAAGTGTGGAATTAAGAAAGTCTTAAACGGCTTTCTGGAAAAAAAAGAGATTATTTCTCAATAAATAATTGCGTCTTTTAATGAATGAAGTGCTCTTTTCAAAATTTCTCTCCTATGACTGAGAAATAAACATAATGGGAGGATATGGGAGGAGATAAACACCCAAATCCTCTTTATATATCGTTTTTGAAAATCCTGGTGAAGCAGGGCTGGGGAAAGACAGGAAAGGATATGTCTATAAAGGTAGAATTGCTCATAATAATGCAAATTGTGTATGTCCTCTTGGAGACTTTGAAAAGCCAGTAATCTGCTAGACTTTCTATCTCACCTGACCTCATTTTTCTGAACATTGGTGTGACTTTTTGTTGTTGTTGTTGTCATTGCAAATACTTTATTATTTGAGTGCTCTCTTTTTTTCACCTCTTATTTGAAAACTTTTCCCTAACTTTGATCTTTATTGATCTGTGTTGATTTATATTGATCTTTACCTCACTGACTTTATGTTCCATTCTTAACTACTTTGTGTGCGTGGATGAGTCACATTCATGTGGCAGGAACATATTCGTCAGCAGTTGGTGGTTAAAAGAGCAAAGACAAGTTTGGTTCACAAGAGTTCAAAATTTTGAATTTGAGCAGAACTTTGTTTCGGTCTCATTTCTGATTAGATTAAAAATCTCTGATATGGTATTGTCATTTCATTTGTGCTTGGCAGACAAACAGTGCCTACCATAGGTGAGGGACTTATTTGATTTTGGTTAGAAAACAGATTGAAGCAATTATGAATAATATAAACCAGCACAAGACATTGTCATTTCTTAGAAAAGTTTGATGAAGAAATAAGGAGGAATGTTAGAATAAAATGAAATGGAGGGCAATTGGGAAGCCACTGATCTTTTCTATTTGTTAAACTTATATCTACAGGTGTTTTATTCTTCCCAATGACACTATTCACTGTGAGAGAGAACTGTACCAATCAGCGAGAGCTTGGAAGGACCACAAGGCTTACATTGATAAGGAGGTAAGAGGCATTTGAAAGTTCGTTCCAAGTGAAGTCTCTACACTGCTCCTCTTTCAAGGAATAATTCTGACTCAGAAATATTCACTGTAGATCGAAGCTCTGCAAGATAAAATTAAGAATTTAAGGGAAGTTAGAGGACACCTGAAAAGAAGAAAACCAGATGAATGTGACTGTAGTAAACAGAGGTAAGACATGACCTTCAGCACTGCAAGCCACACTAGTTGGTTAGATTTAGACATTTTTCAAGTTTTTTGAGATGTTGAAAAACACAGCCTGCTGTAGACTTAGAGCTTACTCATAAGGCTCTCCTGTTCAGGCTTCATCCCTAGTCAGAGGAAGGAAAGAAAATGAGTCTAAATATTTGTACTCCAGTCTCTCTCTGGAGAAAATCTTGACTCTGTTGACTTGACAAGAAATTAAAGTAGGCCATTCAAAGACATTCAAGTATCAGTGTGTATGACCTAGCTCAAAGGAGTTGAAAATGAAAGGAGAGCCAGATCCAAATTCTGATTAGATTCATTTTAAGAGTGGAAGGTATTACAAATCAGAGTAAGGGACATGTATGAATTTTAAGATGCTGAGGGGGTATGTTTGTATTCCGCTGGCATATTTGAACACCCTTTTGTTTTACTACAATCTAGCATAGGATTACTCGCCAACATATTATTTCTTTACATTAAGTGAAAATGGTAAGTTATCCTATATAGTTCTTTAACCTAGAAGACAATAAATTCATGTTTCTGTTTTTGTGTTGAAAATAAGTCATTTCATGAATTGATGACACTCAACCTCCTTAATAATTGTGTCTACAGCTTTTACAACAAAGAGAAAGGGGTGAAAGCCCAAGAGAAACTCAAGACCCACCTTCATCCATTCAAGTAAGAATCTTATTCATCTCTCACTCTCTCAGCTGGCCCTTTGTGACTGTAGAAATAAAGAACGTGTGTGTGTGTGTGTGTGTGTGTGTGTGTGACAGAGGGAGGGAGAAGATAAGGGAAGCTGTTACAAGAAAACTTCAATAATTTTGAACAGATATGAGAAATTTTATGAATATTTAAAAAATATTGATCGAAATGGAAGGATTTAATCATTTCAGGAACAATTTGATTTAGCAAAGGTTAAAAAAACCTAAATGAATTAGTGCATCATTTTTCAAATTTACTAAAGAGAACACTCTGTCAGAAGAGCAGGGGTAGAATCTGAGCTAGCAGAGTCAGCCTGCTGAAAGACGTAGTTCCCACCATCTAACCTACAAAAAACTTGAGTAGATGTAAAAATCGCTAATGCTGCTGTTACCTGGACAAAAACCTTTCCCTGGCAGTTATGTCTCCCTTTCTCCCTGAGCAGAGAAGCAGCACAGGAAGTTGATGGCAAACTGCAGCTCTTCAAAGAGAATCGTAGGAGGAAAAAGGAACGAAAGGGAAAAAAGCGCCAGAAGAAAGGAGATGAATGTAGTCTTCCTGGACTGACATGTTTTACCCATGATAACAACCACTGGCAAACAGCCCCGTTTTGGAACTGTAAGTCTCCTGTCTTATTTCTGTATGCCAATATGAATTAGGTTCATCCTTACCATGTAATATAGTTCCTCCTTATGCAGTCAATCAGATCATTATTCTGAAAAATAGGTGCTTAACAGTGCTACTTCTGTAATTCTGCAGTACTAAAGAAGAATTGCACTTGTACGTGCTCTTATAGTTACATTACTTATATCAAATTAGAGGCACTGTGCTAAACACTGCAGAAACAAATGGGAGGATTTGTCTATTAAATCTATCTAATTAAATCTATCTAAATCTAATAGCTATCATAACTAGCTATTGAGATCTATGACACCTTTTGTTGCTCGAGATGGGTGAATATTTCATAAGAATTTTTATAGGTTTCCAGCTTGGCCAGACAGAGAGGGTAAAAAAGAGAAACCCATTATCTCCATTATTTCCCAATCTCTGTCCATGTTAGTTTATTTAAGTCTGTATAATGAAATTAGTTAAATTTTGACCAGTGCATGTGTCAGCAGAATTAAGTATCTGTGACAGCATGAGGTGGAATTATTATACTAGAATGAGATGATTCCTACATCCCATACCTATTCTCCTTTGGTCATCATGCTCTAAAATAAAAGAATTCATCTTGTCATTTTGCTGTAAAAGATACTACAAATAAAGCCATCTACAGGACTTCTATCACTGTTATATATTGTAAAAATTCTAATACTGACAAAGGGCCTGTTCTCTAAAAAGATTCAATAAAACCCTTTACTTAATTTCCATTACATTAAATCTTTTTTTTTGTTTGTTTGTTTGTTTGTTTGTTTTTTATGTTAACTACAGAATTGCTGGTTCTTTGGAGGTTGAAGGTTTTCAAATGATACTTATCCTGGACAGATGACAGGGACAGATACTCCTTAAATGCAAATTGTTGGAGCTCTGCAAAATCAATGAAATTATGATACTTTGTCCAGATACAGGTCTAACGCAGGTCTCACAACAGTAAAGTAGGAATAAGAATGATGTATTGAATTAGTAATTCACATACTTACTATAAGAAATCAGTTCTGTAAATATTTGTTTAATTCCCTAAGTGTCAGAGCTCAGAGGCCATGCAGGTGACATTGCAAAGAAATTTATTTGAACTTTGATCCTTCTTGAACCTTTAAGCTCTCTGCAAAGCCCTTTTTATCTTATGAGAAAAGCTTTTTCAGATTAATTTTTTTCCCCTGAAATCAAATTGTAAAGTCTGGTATTCAGGGGCTAATGTGTCTATTTGAATTACAGCCTTTTCCTTTTTGCTCCTTTGTCATGTTAGGTTATAGATGAGATATATATGACCAGTGATTTTTTCACTAATCCTTTTTGTGCCGTGACCTTTAATTCTGCATGGAATCACAAACTTCAGCACAGAAAAGATGAACTTTCATTTTGCCTTTTTGAGTTAGAAGTGTATCATAGGCAATTTCCTGATTCAGAGGTGATTAATCTAATCTAATATATTGATATTTGACTAAATTTTTGTAGTGTATAAGCAGAAAAATACCTAGGAGCAAATACTTACATGGAGAAAGATGTTGTCTGGCAGTGATTGTCAAGCTATTGCACACAACATCTTATCATCATTTTCAAATGGGTGTCTAAGACACTTAATTAGTAGTACCCCTACAAGTGCCACCAGTAATGTCAAAGCTGGTGATAAAGTGACTTTTGGTCACTTGAGCTGTGAGTAATTTTTAAGAAGACTCTAACTTCCCAGGCGGCACTGACTGGATAAACTTATAGCATACAGAATATGATCTCAAATAAAAAGACATTCCAGAGATGAAGAAGCCCTACATCCAAATGGCTCAATTTCAGCCACTTGGAAGTCGTTCAGTTCTTTTACGTTTCTTTTAAGGTTTCTCTCATTTGTCTCATTATGGCTAAATTTAGCAAGCATGAAGTAGTAATGTCAGAGCATTGTCTAGGGAAGCTTTCATCTTATTTTGCTATGAAGTTTTCAGTGTCCTGATGCTGAATTCAGAGGGAGTCTCCTCCTTTTCAGTTCTATCACAGAGCTGTGACATCTCCTATGATCTCTTCTGTGGTTTGTTATGCACCAGGAACACCATATAACACAGTCATTCAGGGACCCTTTCTAATGCAAAAACTGCTACATGGAAATTACAAGTTTTCTACTAACAGCTCTGCTGAAAAGAAACTAAAAGAGGCTAGCTTGTTATATAATTACCAATCGTACTTTTTCACAAAATGCCCTTTGAAGACTGAATAAAGTATATTTTTGAGCAGATGATAAGCATTACTGCAAAATACATAACTGCATTTCATCGGGTGAATAGCTCTGCATACTTCACTAACTATATTGATTAAATCTTCATTTCCTCTAATAAGGCCTGGAACATTTACTTCACATGTGACGCCTGACTATAGGTGTCTGCTTCTGGAATCCCACTCTATCTTTCCTCATATTAAAAATTGAAAATGCTGTGAAATCTGATACACTGCCTAGATTACACTGTTGGTAGTAAGAGCACCTTAATATACAGTAAGCAATTCCAGCTCTTAAGACCAGGAATCACTGCTGTCTTACAAATCCTGAATTCTACTAATTCCCAATAAACTACATATAAATCAGAAAAGAATAAGTCTTATTACAGTATTTCTTATCGCCTATCTTCTTTAAATGTATACTTATGAAAATTGTGTGCAACTGTATTTATTTAATCAGGGTTTTTGGTGAAAATCCAGCTAGTCATTATTAAAACAGGGGAATATTAGAGCAAATTGATCTAGAATTCAAGTACATGAAGATCTATAGAAGTTTTACTGATATAAGAAAGAAGCATATTTTTTAATTCTCCTAAAACTAAAAGTTTGTTTCTTTAATTGCAGTGGGATCTTTCTGTGCTTGCACAAGCTCAAACAACAACACCTACTGGTGTTTGCGAACAGTTAATGATACCCACAATTTTCTCTTTTGTGAGTTTGCAACTGGCTTCCTGGAGTATTTTGATATGAACACTGATCCTTACCAGGTAAATCCCTTTTCCTGTGACAAGCTATTMTATGCTAAACTCCTGTAGCTTTTTTAATTTTGTTGTTATTAACGAGTATTTTTTTGCCTCCCGTCCTTTTTCTCAGCTGACGAATACAGTCCATACAGTGGAAAGAGGCATTTTGAATCAATTACACATACAGCTAATGGAACTGCGAAGCTGTCAGGGTTACAAGCAGTGCAATCCAAGACCTAAAGGACTTGAAACAGGTACAAGAAAAATAGATGAGAGCATTCATTTCCATTTTCCTCTCCTTAAGTACTAATTGGATCCATGAAGTCTCGCTCTCTTAAGCGTTGCTCTTAATACTTTGGAATGATCCACATACATCATCCTGCATAACTGCATGACCCGAAAGCTTCTTTGCAAGTTTGCACAGGTTATTCTAGACAGATACTGATGATAAAAAGCAACATTTGACAGACACTCCAAAGAGATTTTCTTGTCCATAGTCATAACTTTTCTCTCTTACAGGGTTTATTCTATTTTACTGTTTGCTTCCCAGTAGCAATTGCAGTATTAAATCTTGTGTTTATTCAGACTGCTGTCTGYCTGTGTGAACAACTTGAGGTTCTGCACTATAACTGAGACCTAACATTTCAGACTGCCTTTCATCACTAGCCCCTCTGTTTTGGGGGAAAGCAATATTTCTTTCGAGAATCTCAGAACAGAAAAACAGATTGTTATTTACACTACATGAGACTGGAATTCGCTGCACTTTATTCTGGTTGACCAAACAATGTGATCTTTACAGGACTACTTCATTCTATATGTTTTATGTTATTGCACCTTTGGATTGCTTTCTTTGGCTACAAAGATTACTCTTATTTTAATACATCTAATTGTTTGGGGGTTTTATTGTTTTTGAAAAACTGTGGTTTTTCAGCTCTTTTATATAAAACTTCCAGGAAATCTTTGTTGGACTGCAGCTCTGTCTTTGTTTAACACAGTACATTTCTTTTTAGGAATTAGATGCTGTGCATGGAAAACTACATTGTGAATGGTTTTACAAGTTCTAAACACTAACAAAAGTTACTCTTGTATTTTCCTATATCAGGAAATAAAGATGGAGGAAGCTATGATCCACACAGGTATCCACACTTTTTTATTCTCCTCAGCAGCTTCTTTCCAAATAATTGCATGATTTCAGTCCATTCCAACTAATGCCTGTATCCTGCCATGTTGCACACAACATAGCTTTTGATGCATGCGTTTTCTAACTACTTTACACTGAACTTGGCCATGTTTTTTTTTAGCTACACCATTCTGCATTTAACTTAGCTCATTGTCACAGTAAGACTTCATAGAGCTCATATTCCATGCCTGTATTGCTCAGATGGGAAAAATGACATGAAAAGAATAATTTCTTTGGTTTTTTTTTCCTCCTGTTGGGCCTGTTTTTGTTTGTTTGTTGGTTGGTGTTTTGTTTTGTTTTGCTCTTGTTTTTATGCAGGAGAACTGTATGAGGTTCATGTATTCAAAAAGTCTGATCAAACCTACAGAAATAAATTAATGTCTTCTCACTGGCTTTAGAATATGTTGACAGATGCTGTTTTAAGCAAAAGCAGGGCTTAGTTTGAACAGYATTTGCTCAGAAGCCATGAAGAGGTTCAAAACACAAGGCTCCTTTAGGTAGGGTAACAGTGTTTCCACATCAGCTTACACATGCAGAAAACTGCTCCCTGTTTTTTTAAGTCTCTAATGTTTGATCTGAGGAAGGACAGGTGAATATTTTTAGTATTCAGTGCTCAAACCCAGGCTAATGCCTGAAGAGACTGAAGAAACTAAGGTCTTAACAGCAGTGTATGTGCTAGTTAGTCAGCAATGCTTGCATGAAGGAGTAGAAAACAGTTTAAATGTCTCTCAAGTGTCATATTTAAGCTTGATATCTTCTCCGCTATATGTACAGTGTTATACRTTTTCATTTCCATGCACTTTAGCGGAGAAGCTCCTGAAATACATCATTTTCCTGAGACATATATTGGACCAAGAGAGTATACAGATCTATGTTAAAAAAACCACAAGGACTACCGAAAAAAAAACCCTAATTATTAACTCCCAGTAGCCAGGGCACCATGTACTTCAGTGTTTTATACGAAAAGCTAGGGTTTTTGTTATATCCCAGGTGCTTGCATTGTGTGCTGCAGCCTGCTAAAAAGTTACTTACAATGATAKAATATAATTCTTATAGTTCTGTTTTAATCCTTTCATCAGAAGATTTCATTGCAAGCATTCCTGTAACCGCACATCTAAGTGAAATAGCATTTTTGAATTTTAGGATTGCATGAAATAATAGGGCACACACATCTTTATGTTATACCCTGTTACACTGCTTAGTAATGAAAAGACTTTAACCTTTGATGCCAAGTCAATAAAGAATGTTCTACTGAAAGAAGTGGCAGGTACAGTATAACTCCAATGATATTGCCGTGTGYCATTCCATTCCAGACGGCAGCTGCTCAACGTGCGCAGGTGCCTGAGTTCAACAGTTTGATTTGAGCCCCATCCTCKTGTTCTTTTTCTTTTCTGAAACAAAATATTAAAAAAGAGCAAGAATAGTTTCTTAGTGATCATGAAAATGATCTCTTAAAGGATCTGTTTCTTGAAATTTGCACAGAAAACTCATGGAATGAGAAGGGGAAAAGCCACAAAGTCATCTGAAATATTCCTTAGGCTTCCTGCAGATTGCTTAGTACCTCAGCTCATATCTGCTTCCAGTTAAAATTTCCTGAGTTAGTACAGAACTAAAAGCACTGCCAGTACAATACTGGGACAAGGAGCCTGTATGGAAGCAGTCAGCACAGTGCTGTTTGCTTGGTACATGGGAAGAAACCTTTATTGAGGAGGAACGTGTGTCACTGTGGAGAGTGGATGGAGTGGATGGAGAGTGGAGGGTCACTGTGAYGTAGAGCCCGTGTCTCTGCAGGCAGGGTGGCAATGGGCTGCAGGAGCTGCACAGGTCTCTCCTCTCCTTCCTCAAAGCCACCAGGGATCTGATTGTCTCTTCCTGTCCTCAATCTCAGTGGTGGTATATCCRAATCTGCTGCTAGCTTCCAGGCAGCACAGATGGCATCATGGGTTTCTGGGGTGCAATAATTTGAGAATTAAGTTAAACTAATGCTTGGCTAAGGACAAAAAAAAAAGGCTGCTGTCTTATTGAGAATAGTTAACTGCATTTTTTCTCACACTGGTCTATGATGTAGCTAACTGCGAAAATATTGATAGGGAAAACTACTGCCACGCAGTTACTATGCAACTCATCTGCACTTTCCTGTCTTGTGTTTTTATGAAGAGATTTCTTGCAGGGGAAAACCTTTCCTTATTTCCTCCTTCCATTTCTCTACTGTGATTTCTGTGTGAAACTTTCAACACTTACTGCAAGTTGTGGCCTTAGACTGTGAAGTGACCTGCTCAGACAAACTGCAGTCAGCTCCAGTTCCTTACGACTTTTCTTTCCAATCAGTTTACATGCACACAAGTTATCTCTGCCACGTGTTTAAAGAAAAGAATTTTTTGCTGCTTTACCTKAAAATCACAGGCTGATTTTCAGTGCCTCCCCAACTGTGGAAGTCCTGGGTGATCAGTGGTGAAAGAGGGACCAGGGGACCACAGTGTTCCCATTAAAGGGGAAAAAAAAGATCCAGTGTGCAGGGCTGTGTAGCTCTGCTTCAGGCCTTGCTTAGAAATGCAGCAACTTTGTGTTGAGACAAAACCAGTGTCCCCGCTTACCCAATGTCCTGGTGCCAGTGCCAGCCCGGGGCCCAAACCCACCTTTCTGGCCTGTCCCAAGTGGCCTCACTCCCGTTTCAGTTTCTGCCAGTAGGTTTCCCTGTGCAGAAAGTGCTGGTGCTGCTCAAGGATGAGTCTGGATAAATTCCTATATCCTGAAGCCCTTTGCCCACTGATTGTTCTTAAAACAGATTGTTTTCCTATAGAGGCTCCGAATTGGCCGTGACAAAGTTTATGGAACTATCGAGACAAAGAACAACTGGGCGAAATTTAAATATTRCAGCATTTGTAACGTTACTATCTAAGCACACTTGGTGGTAAGTTTCCCCAAAAGTACAACTTAGGGGAATAGTAAGAATTACTTCTTGAATCTTCTGATGTATTGGATTTGATTTTTTCAGGGAGAAATTTATGAATAATTTGACTTATAGAGATGGTTGCCATATTGCCATTCCATGAAATTTCTTTTCTGATGTCTTCTTAAGAGAAGAAAAATAGCAAGGTTTGATTTTGTGTCTGTTCTCCCAGATCCAAAATACTTATGTGGTTTCCTGTAATAGGGAGTTTGCCACATGTTTGCCAAGTCACTTTAAGATACAAAGCCATGTTTCTAAAGAAAATAAATATTTTTAGAATTTGTTTTTAAAAAAGCATAAGTTACATTTTTACATTTCTTTCTTTTTTAATTTAAAATTAATTAAAATTTAAATTTAATTTTTAAATTTTTACATTTTTAAATTTTTAAATTTAATCTTTTAAAAATTTTTGTAAGAGAATATCAATTAAAGTTAAGCACTTGGATATTCTCACATACAGAATAGGGCACAACATTTACCAACTCTTGTTGGTGTCTGTTCATGTCGGAGCACATCATGATAAGGAAACGGCATCATAAGAAAACCACACTTTTCTTTTCTGACCTTTTTTTGGACATGTTTTTTCCACTATGAACTCCAGAACAAGTAATGAAGTGAAGAATATAAGCTAAGCTAGCATATCTTCTATTTTACTTGAACAAGGAGAAAGAGCAAGTTAAAATAAAAACGAAATGATGGAGTTGCCCAGAATCCACTGTAGAAGTGAAGAAACTAGTGTAAATAAACATTTATACTCAACTTAGGCAGTTGGGCTGTAGGCACCTGAACTTCCAGGGTAATTGGAGCTATCCTACCTGACAGTGGAATTCAGGAAAAAAAAGTCATTTCAGTGAATTAATTCCTAAGTATTGCATACAAGGTTGTCAGTGAAAAGCAGTTTGTCATTTTCCTTGAAATACTTTTTCTTTACCTGATTAGTTTTACCTTGTAGTCCATTTTGTGGGTAAAATCTTTGGCCTGAACATCATTGTCTATGTAGTGAATTAAATGAAATAGTGGTGTCCACCAGTGCTACTTGTCAATATAAAATGGGCTTTGCCATGCATTTAATAATCTAGGTCACTGTAGCCATTTCTGGAAAGTGGCTACACGCTGGAAATTGGTTTCCTTCATGTATTTATTTTCTTCTGGGTATGATCAATAAAAAATCCACTCCACTGCTATTTACAGAATCACATCTGTGCTCTTCATTCAGACACATTATTCAATAAATCTGTTAGCTGTCTTCTTTGAAAGCTTTAAAAAAAACCACTAATAATAAGCTCTAGGAGATACTATATCTGTGTATATTTTAACAAATTTTTGGGGAGTGGTGCAGTTCTATAAATTAATTTACACCAAGTTTCTGAAGTGCTGTTTCTTCTACATGCTCTGTGTAAACTGAAGTTAATATCTACAAAATAATAAATTAAAATTACCTTTGACGATCATTTATTAAAGACCATTATGTCTTGTACATCTGATTGATAGAAAAATGTGACTTTATTTGTAGGCTGTGTCTTTCAAGCTGTTTAGACAACAAATTCCTCTGGGCTTTGCTGAAGTTCTGGTCACTAATGTCTCTCAGAATTAATCCTATCTTTTTATACTTAACTGTTGCTTATCTACCATGTGTTTTGGCAGAGTGTCCATGAAAGGCAAAGGTGTGCTGAAGGAACTTCTATGAGTATCAGAAGAAAGGTTTATCTCTGAATGTCATCACAAAGTCCCTTTAGGGCAGGCTTTGCTCCTCTTTACGCCTGCTCAGCCCAGGGATGTAGCTGAAGCCAGTTTTGTAGCAGGAGCTAGAAGATGGGAGCCCGTCTGAGCCCAGACGCTGGAGAGATGATGGAAATGTGGAATATTTTATTATTTGAGCTATACACGTTATAAGTAGTAGTGCTTCTTAGCATATTGGAATAGAAACATGCATGGAAGCTTTCCTTGCACTTTTAAGCTGATGCTCACCATTAGACCTTATTCTTTCTTTTAACAGAGGACAGTTATGGGATGGATGGGAAGGCTAACCTGCCAAATTTCACTGGTGACGTCGACTGGCAAGGACTGGAAGACTTGTACAGTGTGAATGAGAGTGTATATGAACACAGATCCAACTATAGACTTAGTCTGGCTGACTGGACTAATTACTTGAAGGATGTAGCTAGAATGTTTGCACTGCTGAACAGTTATTATGAGCAAAACAAAATGGACAAGACCAACAGTGCTCAAAACAATGGAGATGTGGATGAATCATCTACACCATTTACCGTGGTGGAAATGAACTCGGCYGAGGAATCAAGCGGCCTGACTGCAGGAGAGTCCCCGCTTATTGTGCCAACAGACTTAGCAGTCCTAGCTTTGAGCACAGTGGTTTTACGTCAAGAGAGGAATCTTGAACTAACCAATGCTATTCCTGAGAAAAGTAGTTTGAATGATGCACACTGGAGAAATCATCACCGAGTTGAAAAATGGATGGAAGATAAAGAATCTGACCGTTTTGATATGGATTTTAGTGGAAACGGTTTGGTAGAGTTGGAGTCCAGGCATAGCTTCATTCTACAACCCATCAGCATTCTTCAGAAAGACACCCATCAGGACAGCGACCCTATGGTAGATATATTTGAAGATCAGATGTATCTTCCTGTGAGGTCTGATGAACCCATTGTTCATCAGACTGTCAATGTATCCATTAGGAATTCATCTTTCGGTACCCAGGAAACAGGAACTATTTTGAAAAAAATTGAAGAGAGTCTTGCAGGGGAGACCTCAACAACCCCAACTATGGAAGGCAGTGCCTCATCTCCGCTCTCCTTGGATTAGATGAAATTGTAAACCATTGAAAAAGTTCTCCTATTTTATTAGCAAACTAATAAAAGTAATCATGACAACTGACATTCCATGTTTATTGTAGATACATTTTGCAGCTAAATTGAGCCCAATTCAGTATTGCTCTGCGTCTGTGTGTAGATTGTATTCAAATACACAGGCATTCACAGTAATTTTTAAACTGGGAAGCAAGATTTCCAGTTTCTCATAAAGAGAAACAGTGTTAACCTTCTAATGCTGTAGCACATTCTCCACAAGCTAAAAATTATTTCCTTGAAGAGGATTTTCAGGTTACATTCTCTTTTTCCGAATGATCCCACCATGAATGAATGTTTCAGCTCACCCAATCTGTCTGCATAACGTATTTTTGATAAATTATTTTAACCACTGGAAGTTCTTCATGTCATGCTTTTGAGCAAAATGATGTTGCACTTTTAAAATCTGTATGCCATACCATTTATGAATCTAATACTTTACATGTTCTTAGTTTGCTCATTGTTTAATGTAATTGTGAAACCAGTAAATAGGTTGACAGGAAAGAGGTAATCAGCGCGGATTGTGGAAACAGATTGTTTGAATAATATTTTAGCAAAAATATTGCATGTTTTGTTACTTTGATTTAATTAAATTTATTCTCAGAAAGGTATGGCTAATGATTGTTAACTATAGGAGGATTTCTTTAAATTGGATTGTTTTCCTGTATATGGATATTGTCAGTATTAAAAATCCATGAGTTTTTGATTTTTTTTTTTTTATTGATACTGGTAGAAAATTTACATCAGTACCCATATGCTTTTATCATTTAATCTTTTGATATTTGAAAGCATTATTATCATTTTGAGCGAAATTCTTTTTATTTTGTTTTGAACAGGCACTAAAGGGAAAGATACAATCATATTAGTTTCACATTACTTTAGAATAAAAAAAAAAAGGGCAAGAGGTCAAAACCAGTAGTTTAGCTCATTTTTGTTGTTGCATTGTTCAAATTTCTTTTTTTATAAAGAATAATACAAATATGACTTTGAAAATCTGTACTAGTAGAAACTTAATATCTTCCCTGGCTTTTCTTTTTTATTTGCAAGTAATTAGCACAACAGCAACAAAAGAGAAAAAGAGATGTAATTCCATCATGCCCACTTCACAGGAACATTTCCTGTCTGTTACATGTTACTTAAAGTAGGGAGTATTTTTTGGCTATTGCAAGCATTGCAGGTTAAACTTACATTTATCGCTTTGTATTTTACTTTGAAGTTTTCAAAAAGAAGATTCCTCGGTAGGATTTTAATAATTTTAAGAAACAATCTTTTTGATGGACTCTGTAAATATGTTAAAATTAACTAGCTGTTTATCTGATGTATGTGTCATGGGCTGATTGATAGAACAAACGTATTTATGGTCATGAATGATGCTATTTGTACATAGATTTCAAGTTACTAGGATATTGTGTTTTTAAATCTTGTATAATACTTCTGTGATACTTTTATAGAACAATTCTGGCTTCAGGAAAGTCTAGAAGCAATATTTCTTGAAATAAAAAGTGTTTTACTTTACCTGCTTCAGAGAAGTCTGGATGATCTAGTTTGCCCAGTAGTTCAGAATTATTTTCAGAATCTGTTAACAGTTTCACTTGCAGTTTTAAAAATCCATCCATGGTTAAAGCAATGGGTAACAAAATAGCACACGACATTCTGTTAGTTATAAATTATTCCTGGAAATTGTGAATAATATATATTTTGTTGTTGTTTGTTTAAGATGCACTGTGATCTTTTTAAATTCCCAGTCCATGCGATCTTTCCTTCCTTGAAATAGATGCCCCAGTTACACAACCAGGAGCAAAGCAATGTCACATGGGTCCTCCTCAGGTTTGGCATTTTCCCTTCTCCATACGGGGATCTCCCCACTGGAGCAAAKTGCCTCCTTGGGCAAAAGTGAACATTCTTTTACAGAACAGCCTTCTTAAGCAAATCTTAGGTTTACTACAGATAAACTGTTTCCCCTACTTTATGTTTCTTCTGTGGCCTGGGAATAAAATTAGTTTGAAAATGGGCAGAGATATAGGAGGGAAAGGTCTTGYTCATCTGTTCTGCTCGCTGGTCCTTACCGAATAGGTTCAAGAACTAAGAAAATGGAAGATGTGACTTCATTTCCGAAGTGGTCCACTTCTTTCTTCCAGGCTAGCACCCTGTCCTCCACATTGCTTCATTTCAGCTTATGTGACAGCTGAGTAGAGAGTTTTTCAGAGTATAGATTTAGGCAAAAGTTTACAACTCTCCCAAAAGTCCRTATCTCATTTTAGATGCCTGCAGCTTTGTCTACATTAACTGAAAACTACTGAAACACAACAGGCAAAGATCTGTGCCATTAAGCAGTTCTCCTAAGTTTCCCTTGGTCCAAGAAGCCACATTGCTGATGTTCTTGGGGGATTTAATCGGTACAGGTCTTGTGGTTTGAGCACCAGTGGGTGGTTGGTGCCCACTAGGTGCAAAGTTGTATGAGAACCTCCTTGGTGGGTTTCAGCAACGCATTTTGTGTGCTCTGCAGTGAAAACCTAACAGGGGAGGTGGGCTACAAGCTGGAGAGTCACTTCAGAAATGATGTCCCACCTGCACAAGTGCAATCACAGCTGGAGCTGCCGCAGACCTGCCTGGGCAATGCTCCTGCCGACCGGGCAGCAGATGTCAGTGCAGAGCCACACAACTGCGCCTCCGTCGTGGCCCTTGCACCACCCCACAGCGCATTTGGTCCTGCCAAGGGAGCCCATTCATTCAGTTTTAAGCTGAATCTCTTGATGATAACGTCACCCACAGCATATTCCTTAATTTAACTGCTCAAGTCCTGGACGTGAATGGCACTAAAGGGAACCTGCAAGATGTCTTGCACATGGTTAAATTAATTTGCAATGAAAACAGAAGAGTCTTACTACGCATGTGGAACTGGAGCAGGATCTGGGTCCCACAGATTTGTCTTCTGGCACCGTGCACAGCCGTTCTGCTGTTCTGTGCTGTCCTCCTTGCTGTGGACACCGGCTGACGCTGTGGATGTGGACGTGGGTGCCTGCTGCTGGGTGCAATGCCTTGGTTTCTGACTGCAGTCTCACTCAGACACTTGCTGCCATGTGGGTAACAGGTCCTCTTACACCCTGTGTATTTTTCCAGCTACCCCAACATCCAGTTTCTAACAATTTGTATTAGAATATAATTAATGAGTATGCAATTACCAAGCTTAGTGCTAGAGGAAACTCTGAAATTTAACATTTTATTGTAAAATGAACATCAGTAAATTTTGGGGAGATCAACGCTTAGCTGTGATTCATCAGTCATTAAATTCAGTGGAAAGAAGTACTTTTGTCTAACTGAGCACCTAAAAGTCCATCCAAATATTTCATTACCTGATCCAGGTTTATCCAGGCACCATGTTTTGCTCATTTTCTTCTTCTTGTTAGAAATAAAACACACCTGATATGCGAATTTTTATTTTCAAATATCAAGTATTCAAGAGTTTGTTCTGTAAACACAAGTTTACAACAGACGTTGACAATAGATTTCATTAAACAACGTATTATACAGCTCCAAAATTACTCTAAGCTCTGCTGAGAAATAAATATCAATTAAAAATCCCCATAAAGGAGCCTAAAGTATGCAAAAAAAAAAAAAAAAACGCATAAACCCATTAGTCTCTTTATAGCACAGCACCCACACACTCACACAGCCATACGTTCCCTACACATTTCCTCAATACTCTACACAACTGCTTAATACTGGATTTTTACAAATTGAGCAGCTGCAGGCAGYGTGTCCTCTCCATGCTCCTGCCACGCTACCCACGTTCACCTGTTGCTGCTCTGCTCAGATCCTTGGGCAGAGGTTTGCGCTGCGGCCGAGGACACAAGCGCCGTCGCAGAGGGCAGCTGCTGCGAGGGGAGCCGCCGCCGCCGTGTGAATCACAGTGATCCCAAAGTCACTTTGTACAGAAATTTAGTTCACGATGATTTTGTGCCACTTCTCATTTTGAAATCTCCTCACCAATCTCAGAGTGTGAGGGGAAACCTCTTAGTGCTTTGTAGACCATGAATGCTCTTTCTGAATGAGCAATCCAGACCCAACAACACAAAATAGCTCCCTTTCAGAATTATAAATGTAAGGATGATATTTTGTCTCTTTTTTTGTTAAAACCACAAACCTCAGTTTTTAAATCCTAGCTTATTTCAAAGTGGATAATTTGGCCTTTTTTTCCGTTGTTGGAGCTAGAAACTTGCTCTTATTCTACTTGCTCTTATTCCTGCTTCCTTTTGGTATCTCATGGAAGAATATTAATATTTCTAATCTGAATCCTCATTTTGATTCAAAGTGTTACTGATGGGAGAAGGAGGCTGCTTGGGTAAGAAACCCTAGAATTTAACCCAGTCTTTCTTTTCATTCCCATAAGATTTATTTTCAATGTCTGTTTCAGTCAAGCCACTAAATAAAATAACATTCTACGGAGAGACGAATACATCCCACATATTATAATACTGTGGCCTGAAACACTTCTACTTTAGTT